TCTTTTGGATTCTTATCTCCCGCCTGCTCAGACCTCTAAGTCTGTGTCAACTCATGCAGCATCAACATTCTCCAGCGCCGTCTCCACCAGCGCCCCATGCAGGGGCCGAGGATGGGCGCTCAGCTGGTTGATTGTCAGGGCCATTATGCCCCCCTCCATCCTCAGAATCTCTACTCCCACAATTTCCTCCATGAACAAGCGTTTTTTTACGTCCCACTTTCCCTCCGATGTGTCACAGTCTGCAGCAGATTCTTTTAGTAGTAAAACAATCTACTCAACAGTCGTACGAGGAAAGGAGGCAATTTTGATGTTCCATGGCGCAAGAGGAAACACTTAATGCAGAAGTCAAATCCATGCTCAATGCAATGATTCTGACCATATATGTTGAACTACAATCAATTACGTACAAAGTGATGAAGCCACTGAGCCGGCTGTATGCTGCAAACAACGCCGAAATAGGTACCAATACACAAGTATTATAAGACTGTGACTTTTGAGTTATTTTCCTTCCCAGATTGTTCTAACATTTATCTATTGTGCACAATTCAGTAGAAAAAGCAGTTTGAAGATTATCTTCTCAACATGAAACGTACCATACCTAAAAGCTGTTCCTGCAGTACAGATAGTGGTCAGGGCACTCTCTGTTCGGTGATTCGGGGGGTCTATCCTAATGGGGGAGCTAAAACCTGCAGAGAACAGAACCACAGGATAAGGGAAATTCTGAAACATGAAGCAACAAAAACCTAAAAATCGTAAGAAAGGGCATCATTAGAGAGTGGATTTTTGACACTGGTCACTTTATCCATAGCCATAACTTAAATTCAATATTCTACTGCAGAATGTGTCACAACATAGCCCGCGTTGCTATGCAGATCCAGCTTTTGTAACTGTTCAAATATTTAAGTTTGAAGTTATTTGAGGAGGTGAAAACTATTCTTCCCTGAGGGCCTGTTTGGACTGGCTTTTAGCTTAGCTCAGTGTTCATCTCTGTTTTTCTAAGTGATAGAGCTCTAAATGGTGCCTTTTTTAGGTAAGACAGAGGCTGTTTTAACATACTACACATCAAACCTTTGGAAGAAAAAGATGAAATATATTCCCCTTGTTTAAAGTACTGAATACAATCCTTATCTGTAATTTGATGGGCAAACGCAAATCAACTCGAGTACGAGCAAAGAAAAGGCAGAGCAGTGCAGCCAGTGTTGCTCATTACCCATAAATCAAAAGTGGATGCACTGCAAGCTCTTACTGTTCTGTCAAAAAACTAAGACGCCTGTGTACTGATGTGACTAAAAGCAGGAAGAGGCAGTGATAATTTAGCAGCTCCCACTTTTCACGGTTTTGTTCAATATGACGTCTAACACGAAGTGACAACATGGCTGCAGGTGAGGCTTAGACAGCAAGAAGAGTTTGCTTGCACCGTTAATCACAGGAGCAGTGGCTCACGCATGTGTCGGGTTAATGAGACAACGCCCGGGGACGATGACGAGTTCACATACAGCCGAGGGGGAGTTTTCTCCACTTTTATAACCAACAGGATTGTGACACCTCTGGGCTAATTTTGTGTTTTGGTAATATCTTGATGAAGAATACTTTATTTGACAAAACAAATAGTGTTTTGTTATTTCAATTACCATGAGGAGGCAAGCATCACATTGCATCACAGTGAGAACTGCCAACAGGGAAGGGTGCTGATGGGAATGTAACTGATCCTTCCCTTCTGGTGTAACAATCCATACTGAACGGTTTCACCAGCAGACGGAAGCGGACAATTGAGGATCCTCAGACGTAGAGAAATGTAACACTGTCTGATAACACCTGCAAGTTGTAGCTCACAAATCATTTCTCATACACATGAATAGTCGGCAGGTTCAACACGCGTGAAAGCAGATAGCGTGAGCATTTAGCAAGTGCTCAGAGAAACACTAATGAAAGTGTAACCTGAGCGCTGAGAATCGTGCTCAGATGTTTAAAATGCCATTATAATGCTTTAATTAGAAGAGGAAATTGAAGCTCTCAATGTTGGATGCGGGGGTTTATAATTAAAACATACTTCCCACGTCGCGCACACCCTGCTGTTTCGACACACCACTCCCCTATTCACCTTTACAAAGTAATCCACAGGAATTGTCTTTTCAATAAATGCCACAATTATTAGTGAATCATACAAGTACTGCAGGGATAGAAATTATTTTGTTTTATGAGTTGAAAATGTTTTTTTCCCCATTTCAGAAAACAGCATATCCCTGCTTTCTTTATGTGTAATCGTCAACTTTAAATCTGTTTTACACACCCCAAAGGCACTTATACAGGGAGGATTATTAACTGTATCTAGAGCAAGGTAATGTTTGCCTTTAGCCACTGTGTTTAGTAAGGAAACATTATTCATAAGGGAGTTGATTTTTTTTTAATTGATGAAAAAGAATTTCCTTTGGCCTGCCAAAAAATACAGTTAAAATTACAAGCAAATGTATGTCAACTCAAAGCTTAAAATTATCATTTCAGTCCATCCAAAATCCACTCATATCAAAAGCAATGTACTGTGAAAATTTAGATCTTTTCAGCCCAGGATCTTTAATGAATCAGCCATAACACATCCAGATTTTAATTATGGCTTATCTCAAACATGCACCATATAGTGTTATGTCCAATAATAACATCTACTACCAAAAATCAAATCCAAAGAAAAAGAAAATAAGAAAGTAGGGCATTAAAAAAAAACAATACCAAAATGCAGCTCTGGGACTAAACCAATATTTGCCTGCAAACTCTTTGGCAGCATCAGCAATTTTGCAGTCTTGTTTGTAGCTGTCTGAAAGTATTCTGCACCTGTCTGGTACACTTTGTCTTTCTCTTCCAGTGTGTTCAACATTACATGAGCGAGTTTACCAAAAAAGATTAAAGATTTCTGACTGGATGCAGACTGACTCCTGGGCAGCTTTCTATCCATCCATGTACAGTCGTTCCTCTTCTCTGTTAGTGTGCTTTAATTTGTCCTGTGGATGAAAGCCTATCACTCTTCTTTAAAATTTAAGACAAATTCCATGGTTTTGAACAGCAATGTGATCAATCCATTTGGATGTTTGGGTAAATTAATTCCTTCAAAGAAAGATTCATGTTGACACATCAGTAAAATATTTTAAGTAATTTTACACAAAAAATAAAAACAAGCTATCAAAAAAGCACTATAATTTCAAGCCTTTTTATCAGCGCACTCCACACCTTTGCTTATCTTTGATATTGTTACTATGGTAACTTTACTCCATCGTGCTTTGCCTCAAACCAGCTCAAACTTCTTTTTTTTTTGGCTTACCTTGAAACAGATATTTCATTTTTGAAGGCGATCATGATAAAGACGGTGAGTGCAGTTTAACCGATTTGAGAAGAAACCACTAAAAGCCACATGTCCTGCAACCGAAAGGCTCACGCTCCCTCTGCACTATAAACCTGTAATGGGATCTACATCAAATAAACTCTACTCATTTTTACAAAGCTCAAGGGCGAAATGTACAAGCATGGGTTTTGAGATGTTATCTAATTCTTGAAAATAAACAGGAACCCAATGCACACACATCCTCAAATTAACTCGAGCTTCTGCTGGTGAGGGATATTAAACAACTCACTCTGCCTCACATTCGGTTCCCCTGGGTGAAATTATTTCTAAATGAGGACAAAGTGAAACATCATGCACCGAATGGAAATGCACCATCGAGCCAGCTTTATAATGTCTACTCATGAATAAGCTATTGATCCATTTTGCTTCGCTTTCATGTAATCAAGCGGCAACTATTAGCACAAAACTTTAGCTTAAGGTTTACTTTGTTCATCTTTGGGCTGTAATTGATGCCATCTTCTGTGGGGGTTGTGCTAACCAGCTTTGCAGCATTTACAAGCTCCAGATTGCATCACAGTCCCCAAGCGGCAGCTCAAGCTATGTGGCACATTGGTGCACAGATTTCCTCTATATGTCAGCTCCCATGCCAGACTCCAGATTAAATCCTGCTGTTAGATATTGGATTACGTTTCTTGCTTTTACAGATAACGTATCACCCTCACAACACCTCTGGTCCATGTAATGAGCACAGGAAGAGAACAAATGTACACACAGGTTCATGTCTAATGACTGTAAATCCATCTGAAGAAGACACATGCAGCTTTAGAGAGAGACCAGCTGTGTCGAAAGCAGATTTTCTATACCAAATATTAAACATCAGCGGTTTCGAGCTGACAGCAGCCCAGCTGCATGGTTATGCTGGTGCCTTAATAAACTGAATAAATCCTCCTCATGTCAAGCTCCATACCCAGACGTAAAGAACTAATTTATTTCCAGATATATATGCAGCTGATTCTGAAAAGCAACGGCATTGGATGTTTCCTTTTTCTCTGATGTGATATCCAATATTACATTTTATCATTTAAGTTATTCAAACAGGAAGACTTTCAAAAAGTAATTCAATATTTACTGGATATTTAGAGCGCATGCGCTAACAGTCACAGCCAACTGGTGCCTCTAATTGGATTAGCTAAAGCTAGCAATTTTGTAAATTGCATAAAGAGTAGAGATGAAACAATGCAACCTCTGCTGCGGTAGACGATCAGCCTGTGTTACAGTGCCACAGCAATGCAAAATCCCCAGAAACCTCAAGGCAGCTACGATTGTTTGTAACTTCTTTCGGCAGACACTCAAGAGAAGGGAGAGAATGTATCTCTCCTCCATGTGTGCTTTGAATACATTGCACTGTGTGCTGTGAGCCAATATTCCGAGGCAGAGTAATACAGCTGAGGGAACTGTTTATTTTTCCATCTATCCTTCTGTCACCTTTCATCCTATCAGCTGCCAGCAAATAAAATGACATCACTTCTGAGACTTCTGAGGGGAATGTTCTAGTTATCACCTCCAAACCACATCCTTGCCAAACACTCTTTGCCGTGGATAAACTATGAGCTGGGACCAGAAGAAAAAACAAAGGCAGAAAGCAACATTTAAAAAAAAAAAGGAAAAAAGAATGCTGTAAAGGTAAAAATACAAACTGGTGCGATGTGAATTGTAGTAAAAAAAAGTTTAATTCAAGTGTGCTCCATCTGATTAAAAAACCCTCAAAACCTTGATTTGAAACTTTAATACTTTACAAAGACTTCAAAGCATTTGACGCATCAGAATAAATGCCAGGCCTCGGGCCTCACAGAGAAGAGAAAAAACACATTTTTCTCCATGTCCTGAGAAATCAGGCATCATCAAAGAAAGAGTCCAGGTTCTCGGTCATTTCAGCGAGGTGTTGGGAGCTGTTCACGGCTGCGGCGGATCCTCTGGCAGCTGACTGTTCCTGCGACCTCTGCGAAGCCTCCTTCTCTCTCTTTATGTCCTTGCCTTCTCCTAAAACTTTCTGGCTCTCCACAAAGTACTGGTTGGGGTGACTGAGCGAGAAATTGGCTTCCTCAACCTGCTCAAAAAATAGGGAGAATACAGAAGAGGAAGGTCAGGAGAGGATTGGAACTGTGGGCTGTCACAGAAGTGACAGGTTGAGGAGCCGATTCCCGAACAAGATGATCATTTAGCACCTTCTTCTCTGGTGACAGTAAGGAGTGGTTAACTCATTTAATTCAAGACATTGACGGCCAAACTGGTGATCAAAGTTGTGTGTTCTGAGATCTGCACTCATACAGGTACAGTTTAAAGTCACTGCTTCTCTCGGGTTTTAGCATCTTAAAAGGAGGGAGTGAGTTCAGTGTTGAAGCTGGCAAATCTATTTAAAATATGGCTATCTTTCCAAATGTCCTTTTCCTTTTTGAAACGGATTACTTGAACACGGTAAAAATACGTGGAAGTAATCAGTGTAAGCAAACCAATGAACCACAAACTATTTATTAGGTTTGATAAGCAGCCACCAAAGAGGCCCTGGCTCTTTGGTGGCCAGCTCCATACTCTACAGGAGAATTTACAGCAAGTCTTAGAGTAGCAGCTGAGACCCAAAACTGCAGATGAAACGCAGCGGACCTGGTTTTCTTTCATACCGTCAAACTGGATGATTCAAGGAAGGACTAAGCAATTTCTCAAGGAATTAAAGAGGCCTGCTGTATTCAGTCTGTCCGCCACAATCGAATGAACCACATTTCACCGTCTAGTTTTACTGCTTTAATACCGTTTCAAAAGTCAGAACCTGGGATTTAGCTAAACCTTTTTTATGAACCAATTTAATCTCTGCCTTGGGTGTGATTTTCATTTATTTCGTGCACAGTACAAAACATATTCAGTTCATGAATCTAACCTAACAGTTAAAAAAAAAACTCCCAAGACTAACTTAGAAAATTCTCCAAACAGGAGTTATGCCTCGAATCCTCACATATATGAAAAACTGATTCAATCAGTACTCACAGGAGGTGCTAAAATAACGATCAAGTAATCACGACAGCCTGCTAACAATGGATTGTTGTGGTTCTGGGTTCCTTTTTACATTAGATAAAAACAGTTAGTTGCACTTACATTGTGTGTGAGTTCAAAGTATTTCTGGCATGCCAGCTGGTAGTGCATTCCCTTCACCAGGTCCATGATCTGTAATAACAGCAGTACGCTCAAAGGTGTGCACACAACAGAGCAATTTCATACTTGTGGCAACTTCCATTGTAAATTGGCCTTTTTTTCACAAACTTTTTAAATTGGTTTTTGGTCAACTATCTCAAGTATGAAGCAGACTTCATGAATTACAGCAAAAGCAGTGCATAGCTCCCAAAAAACAAACCTTTACAAATGGAACAAAAACAGATGGCTGGAAACTTTGGGCTAATCTAAATATTAACACCATGTGTCAACTCTTTTGAAATTCATTATTCATTATTCGAAAAACAGGAATTTTCCTCCTAAAAAACAAACAAACACCCACCTGGCTGATTCCGCTGGGAGAGACCTTGTAGGACTGGAGCTTCTGCTTCAGCAGCTCTGGGTCACTGTGCCGGAATGGACATCCTACCAGCAAATCAAAACTCAGTGAAAAATACAAACAAAAATATGCGCACGTCGGCCGTTTAGCTAGCAAATGGTGTGTTTTTTTTTTCCAACTCACCATGATAGTCTCCCTGGCTGGGCGGGTTTGATAAAATCACCTTCATGCAACTGTAGGGGGTGTAGTCTGCCCGCTTGCCTTCTTTACCAAACATGTGGCGGATGCCGTAGGCATATGCTTTGTCAAACTACAGGACAAAAAAGGGGGTGGGCATAGAGAGGATAAGAGGGACAAGGTTGGGGGAGAAAGAGCCAATGTCATACATCATGTCAGTTCTGACATGAGGCGTTTTCCTCGATGACATATAGAGCTATTAGACGGAGCCTGTTGTGACCGAGGTGTTGGCTGAATTAGAAACACCTGAATAAGGCCATCCCTCCCCGTGCTTTTGTCCAGCAGAACGCTCTCTGGCACATTATGAAGCAAGTGCTTTAAATCTGAGCGGATACGAAGTGAACTCCAACACAATCTGCCAGTTTCAGTAGCAATGCGAGTTTCTCTTCTTCTGAAATAAAGCACCTGCTCTCTGATTCAAATTTTATGAAGTCCTGAAAGTTCACTAAAAAAAGGAACGGCCTTGCTAAAAATAAAAGGGGACAAACAAAAGTGGTTGAGTACCATGCACAGGACTGGGAGAAGCCCTCTGAATATTAAGGTTTAGTTACCAATGTGAGCCTGGAGTTTATGATGAAAAAATTGAATAAGAGGGATTCCTCTCACACTGACTAAAAATGAATTAAATGTTAAAAAAAGAGAGAACCTAAGCAATCACTGCATTCCATCATAGAAAGCTTCCACTTATTTTTCTGACACGTGGTGGTGGTCATGCCATCGCTTGAGTCAAATTTGGGGGTTTCTAAGGCAGAACTGCTTGACAATGAATTCTCACTTATGCCAAAGACTGAAGAAACAGCTCAGGAAACGTGAGGACATGAAGGAGGTTGCTTTGGCACTGCTTGAATTAATTTAGTAACATCTTTGCTCAGATCTGAATAAAATGTGAAGAAAAAAACAACAACACCGAAAATCACACACTGAACAAAAAGGAACAAAAAAAAACGTATATATAGCACGACTCAAAAGCTGTGTTTTGTAAGGTAAGAGAGTTCTTTGAGTCGGGGGACTTTGGGGAGCTTACTTATGGATTTAATTGTTTCACTTCAATTATAATTCACCCTTGGGATGAGTAAAATATGCAGGCTGCTGTCTCATCTGCTGTTTAAGTTCTGTGCCAGTGTCCTTGCCCGCTTCTTAAAGCCAGGGGTGTGCAGACCATCATCTACTGAAGATACCACAGCCTGAACACCAAACAATCTAAAACATATTACAACCAAACTTTTTATCAATCCCTGGTTTCAGATCTGGATAAATCTTAAGATCTCCCCAAAAAGCTACACTTTAATGTCAAGGATCCTTGCTTCTTTTCTTTCTTTCTTATTTTAAAAGAAAATACACTTAAACTTCACATTAATTATTCATAGTCAAAATGAAAGTTGCCTCGTACTTTCGGATGGGGGTCATTCTACACAACCTACGCAGTGAACCACTTTTATCGTACAGTAATTCTTGGAAGCCATTAAAGGCATTTTAAAAGAAAAAGAGGGGGGGAAAAAAATCACAGTAAAGCCAAAGTGCTCTGACAGTAGCAGGACACGGTCTCCATGACTGCACCCACCATATCACATTAATGTTGCAATAAAACCCTTGAACTTGCTAATGGGACATGCTGCAGTAGCAATTTAAAAACCCATCAAATTGTCTTTAACTACAATAAATCAAATATTAATTATGTAGAGCTTCTGGGGAGAGACCAGTTCCTCATTTAAGACCTCTTTACTTCATTAAAACAAAACATGGAACTCCACTGGCGCTAAAGTGTGTTTAATATGTATCATGTTAAATAATGTGGACATAAAAAAGGATCCTAAAGTGGTCCAAAGACAGAGATGACATGACATTAAACTTTCAACGGGCCAGGGAGCTGCAAAGCTAAATGCTGGTGAACAAGGATCTGGTCTAATGAATGCAGTTCCTGTAATCATTCTAATAGTTTTAATAATGGTAGTTTTAACTATAAATCATAGTTATAACTTACAGTTCCAACTATTAATCTTTTTTTTTTTTGCCTTAGTCTTCAACACTGCTTCAGCCTTCTCTTAAGGCAATCTTGGATTAACTGATGACTCAAAACTGGTTGAGTTCTCAAATTCAAATCGCAGGCACTGGAGGCGTGCCTAACAAGTTTCTGAGTTTCATCTCTTTTGGTGGTGGTATTGGCCCCCGGGCACCGCCGGTCCATCACTCTCCACCGCACCCAAGCGCACAGTAAAGCCGCAGCAATGGGGACAAAGACATGCGACACAATCCAGGAGGGCGAGCAAGTGTAAACATGCATGTGTGTGTGAAGTTTGCAGCTTCATGTCAGTAGCAACATTAGCTTATGGGCAAACCGATTTTTCGGAAACTGCACAATGGGCCTGTAAGACCGCAGTGAAATAAAAAAAGAAAAGGTAGTTTTTTTTTCTTTAAGAAGCTGGACAACACACATACAAACAAATTATTTTTCCTTCATCTATCTTTCCCAAACAGATTGATTCATTTCTGAGCTTTGATGTTTCATTCCAATGCTTCATCTTACTTTTAACAATTTAATCTCAAGTTCTTCGAAAGGAAAAAGAATATTAACCCAACTAACTCCACCAATCAATCAGATAATGCTCAGCATTATCTTTTTTTTTTTTACAAATTCACCCAACAGCTGGAAAGAAACAGATGTGGATGTTTTAATGGGGTCTGATATAATCAGTTTAGTTAAAGAGGACAAATGTTAGAATTTTAAGACATGGAAACAAACAAAATACTGTGCTGGATATTCAGCAGAAAGCATTAAACTATCTGTTATTTTTATCTTTGTCTGGTAATGATGCCTTCTTTTGATCTCCCAATTCTCTTAGCTAGAAAAGGCATGGGGACCAAGTAAAAGCAAGAGAAAAGAAATGTGGTACATTTGTGTCACTTAATAACTCCGCCAAAGCTCCAGCCATGATGAAAAACAGTAGTGTCAGTTGGAGGAGATTAATTAACTCAAACTTAACATCTGTAAAACAAGCAGTTCAGCAGCAGTCCTACCCCAAGGCAAAACCACGGCAACATGGGACAAACAGACACTCCTCCAAATGAATAGGCCAACTTCCATGGCAAGACGAATGAATAGATCAAGTTGATTTCATCAATTTTCAACCTCCCTCTGGTCTAACATTAAATCGGCTCTTCCTCCAGGCCCCCCTTTCGGCACCGCTGCCTCCCATCTTCTTCTTCTTCTTTTCCCTGCCGAATACTAATGAGTGTGCTTTGTGCAGCCTGCCACAAAGTGCAGCCGCTGACACAACACATACATCACAGCGCGGGCTGAAAGCTGGTCAGCACCATGCTGCCGCCGCCACCGCCGCTCCACAGCCCGGCTTTGTAGACCCATCATGCTCTTTCTGGGAGCGCGTACATGAGGGCTGAGACGTCTCAGAGACGGGGCACCGAAAAGGGCTACATCAACAGCCCTGCATTCCGTTTCATGTTGTTTTACCGATGGGGATTTCTTTTTTAAAGAGGCTGTGTTGGGAATAGATTGTTTCTTTGTTTTGCTTTTTGTAAGTTTGAACAAGCTTGTGATTTTTTTTTCCTGTAGTATTCAAGACAGTTTCTGAGGGCTCTTCACACACAACCAAAGAAAACAAGACATTCAAAATCTTTAAGTGGCTGAGAACACATTTTTCTTAATGACCATACAAATAAATAAATGAGTTTTTTAGATTACCCCAACATTTCTTTTTCTCTTAAAGATTTCAACTGCCCACAGTTACCTTAATTTCCTCTACACCACCTTATTGGTTATTTGTTTTTCTAAGTCTTTGTTCACAGCGGTACTGCGTTGATTAAAGCCACTCTTCCCTCTTGATACGTGCAATGCCTCTACACCCTTGTGCACTGGTCGGTAACAGGATGTGAACGACAGGTTTAAACTCACACACATATCTCAAAGGGCTGTCAATTCAATCACCTATGGGACAATTTAGATCTTCTTTTTTCCCTTAAACTTATTTATAAGAACAGCACGCCCACAAGCGGAAAATGTTAGGAGATTATGAGACTTAGGTTATATTAGAAGGTTAAATAAGAAGTATTTCCCAAAAAAATAAATGTGTTGCACCACTGACAAGCAGGACACATTTTCATAGCTCTATTAAGTCTCACAAAATGCCTTAAATGCACCACAGCTCAGCACCTATTCCACAAAAAGTAAGGTATAGAAAGTTAACGTCAAAGTAAATGTCCTTCACATTTCCCGTGTAACTTTTTATATTTTATATCTTACAGAAACAAGACGAAGAATTACACATCTGAAATAAATGGATTCATTAACACAAATCACACCTCTTGTTACGCATGGGCTTCATTTCAAAGGCCTGAGAAAGCCATCTAGTTCATTACAAAAGAAGTAACTTCAGTCATGCTGAGGGAGTTTATTCAGGCTTTATATGTTCCACGATAAATCCCAAGCACGGCTTTTTAAAGTCACATGAGTCTGAGCTGCAATGCACTGGCAGCAGAGAGCAAAGTCAGATGACCTCTGACTGTGGAAATGCAACCCTGCGTAACCCTAAAGTACTCTGTCACAGATGTGACTGGGTCTCGAGCGGGATGCTCATGAACAGCACTTACAGAATGCCGCCTCAATAACCTACACAGCAGCTAATCAATTCTTCTCAGCTGAAATTCATTAAAAAGTTAAACTGATCATCTAGTAATTTGGATGTTTTATTCATCTTTAAAGCTTTAATAGCAGCTTGAGACAGCTTGAGGTGGATGATAAAAACTGTTTAAAAAAATAATGTTTTATTCATCTTTAAAAGGCAACTTTGACTTTAACTGAAGAGAGTATTTACCCAAAAAGAATGTCACCAAAAGGCTGGAGTGCTGTGTAAAATGCAAATGAAAAAATTCCCTGCAAAGCCATTGCGGTTAGCGCTGCAGGGGGTTGGAGCTATTTCAGCTGCCATCGGGCGAGAGGTGGGGAACATCCAGAGCTGCCCAAACAAGCACACTCACCATCAATTTAGAGACATCAATCAACCTCACATATGTATTTGGGCTCTAGGAGGAGGATAACCTGAAAAGCACCCATATATGCACACTGAGAATGTGCACACAGTGTCCACACAGAGAAGCTTTCAACCGGGTCTCTTGTGCACACAGATGCCTCAAGATTCTCTGAATCCTCTGAGGTAAGATGCAGTGTACATGATGGAATATTTCATATTTAATGATTTCTGACACTGACCAAAATCTGTTTTTTTTTTTTTAAGAATTTGACAAATTGTCTACATTTTACTGCAAATGAAATATAGAAAACGAAATATGAAATGATGGTTTATGGCATTTTGCAAATCACCTATTCATTTTTTTGTCCGAAGCTTTTGGAATATGGGCTGTAAGACCAACAGAGGGATTCTGTTTGGCTAATCAGTGGAGAGCTGGAGCTGGACAGCTAATGGTGCTCCTACTAAAAAGAAAAGCCACTTTCATTTGAAAATTGAACTTTTCTGCTCGCGAGGTCACTTGAATCGAAAGTTACTTTTCACAAACTGTGAACTTTACACTGCATCACGTGAGCGATTCCTCAGTGCCTGCAGGAGCATAAAGACACGGCTCAGTCCAAGTCAGCAGTATCTTACGTTAAAGACTGGCTGAACAAAATAAGACCACAGCATGGTCCTAACGCTCTTTAGTGCATAGTGTAATGACATTTTTTGTGAAAGAGAAGTCAATACAAGCAAAGTAATTACCCATTTTAAAGGCAGTTATTTTGTTCAATCAATAAAGATACGCAGTGACATTGATAAGCCAAGACTTCCGATTCATGTACACAAGCCAAGCTAAGTCAGACATATCTGTAGCTATCAAATGACGAGGGGAGGAAACAAATCCCAGCGCTGCACTGCTGAAGTGATAGATGCAAACAAAGCAAACAGGTCAGGCCTGAAATTCTTCAAAGCATGTCCATGCTTCCTTCTAATAACTACATTCAAAAAAGCACTTTGAGACTAAAAGGCATGACTCATTTCAAGTGACTTGCGCAGCATGAAAATGTATTTGTTCTGTCTGAGATGCTCGGGTGCATCGAGTCGCCTGTCACCGCCGCCTCCGCTTCAAATGGAGAGCGGTAGCTTTCTTATTCTGGAATTATTTCAGTGTCGTTACTGTCTCTCCCTACCATTGAAAAGCATAATCACTAAACTCACAGCCAGTCTTTGTGAGCCACAGGGAACTGCGGGCACATGGTGTCCACACGGTGACACTGGTGAACTTAATACTACTTTGAAGCATTGATGGAAAGAAGGTTCACCAACAGTAAAGCAACCCCGTCCGACCAGGAGCTGGATGGCACTTTGGATTTGACCGATTCAAACCGAAATGAACCTGGTGAACGCTGAAAACACTTCATGCAGATTTAGAGACAGATACATCATCTGGCCAGTAAAGTCTCCTTCTTTAAAAATGATGAGCAATAACTCCAAAAAGAAAATAAATCATTTCTGTACACAAGCCCAGATATTGGAATATTCCCATTTCTTTATCCTCAGCCAAGTAAAATCCTATGTTTTTGGTACTGCGTGTGGGGTTGAAGGACAGCCTGCTCAACATTTAATGGTAAACACAGGTACCTTGTCAGCATCCACCTTCCCTCTCATGAACTCCAGCCTCCAGAACTGCAGCGCCTGTTCCAGAGAGAGCCCGATGCCTTTGAGGAAGAGGCCGTACTGCATGCGGCCACCGTGACGCAGATGGTGGTGCTCTCTGAGTGACTGGTGCAGCTGCCTCATGCAGAGTGGGAACGACTTTCCTGAAAGCTACAAACAGTCAGCAGTTAATGACTGAATAAATAAACCTGCTGCTTCAGAGGAACTAGAATTGGCATCAAATCCAGATGCTGTGCTTTAACGCCTCTGAAAACGGGCTTAAAAATCCACCTTGAAGTTTGTTTAGTTTAACAGATGCATCGGCGCAACTTACGGGATCAATTTGTTCCAAGGAGATTTTACCAACATTCTTCTGGGTGCTGTAATCCTGTCCCACATATGCATGGCTAAAAGCAGATATGAGAAAACATAAGGACAGGCTTTCAGCGGCAAACATTAAATAAAATGAAGACAGGTAGTCAGAAAAAAGAAGTAGAAGTAGAAAAAGTTAGTCAGTTACAGAACATTCTACCCTCTTCAAACAAATGTCAAACCAATGAGCTGCTGTCAGAAGATCTTAAAGATAAAGACCTCCCTATCCACCACAAAGATTAGCCGCACGACCACTGAACTCAACAGCGTGCCCACTAATCCCCGCCAACAGTCTGGGATCCTCACATCCTCCATCCTCACATTCATGTGTTCGCAGTAACTGAAGCTGGCGTTAAAATCTCATTTTGGAGAAACAATCTAAGCTTAGATCAGTTGGTGCAGCTTTAGTATTAAAATTTGAAAAAAATAAGATGAAAATCGAGCCATTTACATTCCAGGGTAACATGTTCAGATAAGACTCTTCTCTTGATAATTTATTGCTAGATAAAGTTGGGATAAGCCGGTGGACTAAAGAAAACCTGGTGCTGTTTGTTTGGTCAGACTCAAATTCGTCTGTAGACAGGACAAAACGACATTGGGTTTGATTCTTATACAGCAATAACCAGAAAGCTGGTCATTCAGGGAAGTTTGTTGTTCTTCGGTGCCAAGTTTTTCTTTTTTGAAACAAACTTGTGGCATAAGCAAAATTCCTAATCCTCCTGCTTACCTGAGGTGGTTCAGCAGCGGCTGGAGCCGCTCATCGGAATGCACAGCTGGTAGCGAGCGAGCCGTCAGCTGCAGACAAGATGGGCATCACATGAGTAATGGAGCAAAGATTACAACAACTTAACACTGCAGGTCAAGTACAAGCAAACCGTTTCAGAAAGAGCGCAATACAACAAGATTGCACAATCTTAATTATAACTTCAGGGAAGGAGATAATCTGAGATAACCACTCTAATTCATTAGAAGCATTTCAACAAACATTTAAATGCAACAAGAACATTTGTGATTTATTCAGCTGCAGTTTGTCCAATCATTGCAATGATTTTTTTAGTTATTGTGAATCTTCAGAAACACACCAATGCCGCAGTGCTCTCAGAACAGACTGCCACCTTCATGTGTGAAAGCCCTTTAAAGTACAAACATCAAGACATCTGCTTGCACAACTGGCACTATCCTAAAGCATCTGCAGCTACTGTCAGGCGTCACCTTTCAACGCATGACTACCCCTGAGTTTGTTTTTCTATAGGGGTGCCAAAACCTCATCCAATTTCACACTTTTTCTTTATTGATTCATTTTCTGTGACGCCCTGTTATTGCTTTGTGTTAAGGGAAATCATCATTACAGTACCACAATGGTACAGTTACAACAAAAACTAACTTCAGAAAGCCATTCCATTCTAACGGTTAGTGGTCCAGATAATTAGTTGGGAAGGCGAAAACGGCAGAGCCGGACAATGTTTGTTTTGTTTTCTCTTCTAATTTGGAAAAGCTGGCCCTGCCAGTCCCATGATGGAGGGCTAAAGCTAATCAAAAGCATTGGACTCGCAATGCCAACCCCAACGCAGAAGCAATTACACCACTACACAAAAGTGAGTCAAATTATGACTGGAGCCCACAATGGATTCTACAGCCAGAATATAAATATATATTTAAATCTATCTTTTTTTAGAGGAGAGTCCTGGGGGCATTTTCGGCACCTCAATGGCAAACAAATTTCCTTTGGAATAAAAAAGCACATAATCAGAACAGCAGGTGAAGGCTTAGCGCCAACTTACTCTGCATGCATTCTGAGATAGAAGCTACATTTCAGATGCTCTCAGAAATCACACTCCTATAATTCTGGTAATCGTGCAATTCAATTTGCCAGGAGTGGTATATAGATGAGGTGTTCATATGTACAAAAAGCATTTTAGATGACTGGCTGAGGGGAGCCAACTGGTGGTCATGAGCAAAGGCATGATGGGAAAATCCTGTGACTGAAAGTGACTTTTTAGTTAAATATAACCAGCAGGACGCATTATCCTGCCACTCAACACAAATGGGGCCTTTGTTTACCATTCTGAGGCATGTTAAATGCACTTAAAAATAAACAGAGAGAAATATAGGCATCTATTTTTTCTATGGGGACTCGCTGCAGTTTTGATTTGCATGCCAAACCAAAAATACATTTTTCAAGTAATTAAATTGCTTATTGACATTCATGTGAAATCCAAAGACTGGGACTGACTTCTGTGTAAAAATATTGAAATAGATCATGGAAATTTTGACTAATCAAAACCTTTAAACGTCTGTAGATCTAAAACAACTAACCAACATCTGGACTCTTTACTGAAATATGGATATAGCATATGAGCGCATATGAGTTTTTTTAAGGACGATTAAACTGAACCTTTATTTGTTTGAAGAAAGAAATCCCCCAAAAACTCACTTACTCTTGACAGTGATACAAATATATCATATAACCACAATTCTAATAGTTGTATTGCAGTGAACCTTCCATCCACTAAAACATATTCATTCCAGTTTGAACCTTAATGGTTTGAATCATTTAACACTGGTTAATAATTCCAGTATTTTTCTTCCACTTCAAAGTCTCTTTAAGTCAACTAAATAGGATCTCATCTGTCCATTAATCTCAAAGTGCTCAGTTTTGGTTGCTGCTAAAGTCCTCCCCGTTCCACAGTCTCCACTTCTCGCTACGACAGAACCAACCACAGTTGTCTCCTCACATACATAATAAAAATGGCCCCCGGTTCCAACAAACAGTGCTTTTCATGCTCCTCGGGGCATTCTGTGCAATACTCAAGCCTCCTTCTTCTGCACCGTCAGAGTCCCTGCCACAGCTTTAAGAGAAAAAACACCATCATGCCTGTAGGGACAGCAAGTTCTTTTATACTAGCTGTCGCCAATTTTCCCTTCAGACATTTTATGTCATGTTGGGACACTCACTCTCCTCATATGAACCCCATATTTCTGCATTTTCCCACAGGGCTCTAGAGGCAACAGCTCCCATTTAGAAATGCATGTGAAATTTTCCTTTTTTCCCCCTCACTCTGCCTGGTCGAACTGGGACGACATGATATCCATCATTCTCGGAAACCACAAGCGCAGTGCAAAAACTTACGGCCAGAGCTTTAGACAGCCTGGTGCGGAAATCATTCAGCACAATGGTGACGATGTCCTGATGAGGGACGTATGCGTAGCCGGCCTTCAAGTACACTTTCCTTGTTCGTACTAGATCGAGGGCATCTTGAAATGGAACCTTGAAAACGTAAACAAAAAAAAAATTAGAAGGAAAAATTGGTTTAAAGGACACCCAAATAGGGTGGGTAGCAGGACTGAGAGGCCAACCGCCCACAGACACCATCTTTAATGTAAGGGGCGCGCGTGACACTGTGCTCAATGACATGTTGTTTTTTTAACGTTAAATCCACTTTCACGCTGAATCCACCAAAGGTGACCATGCGTCATGAATAATTGGTGCAACAAAGAAATTGCCCCGGTGAAAAATCTCAGTTAATTAGGTTAATTAATTTAAAAAGAAAGAAAATAAAAAGGAACATTAAGATGATTAGAGTGGTTTAGGAGTAAAAATGGGAAGGAGTTAAGCATGCGAAGGGCAGGAGGGCTCAACAATTAAAGACTAAACTGCCTCATTATAAAACAAGGAAATAGCCGAAATCACAATCTTTATCAAATGATATTAAGTAATTAAGAGAGTCAATCTACGTTCCCACCCTCATCTATGGTCAGGAACCTTGGGTAGTGACCAAATGAATGGGATCGCGGATACAAGCGGCCAAAATGAGTTTCTTCCGCAGGTGGCTGGGCTCTCCCCTAGAGATAGGGTGAGAACTCGGCCATCTGGGAGGGGCTCAGAATAGAACCACTGCTCCTCCACGATGAGAGGAACCAATTGAGGGGCTCGTGCATCTGATTTGGATGCCTCCTGGTCGCCTCCCTGGTGAGGTGTTCCTGGCACGTCCCACTGGGGGGAGACCCAGAGAAAGACCCAGGATACGCTGGGGAGACTCTGTGTCTCGGTTGGACTGGGATGTTCAAAAGCATGTCACAGTATTGATGAAAGAAGAACTGATGCAGCACAGGGATAAACAGAAACATACTGGCAGCATTGAACTCAGTTCTTCACTTTAAATGTGAAAAAATTTGTTTCATTTCAGCTTCCTCAGAAAGGAATATTTTGTTGTTTAAACCACACTACATCTGAGATGGCTCTGACCCCATGAAGGCTGGGGAAATGAAGCAATCATCACACTAGAGCTTCATCAATTTTGCATCTCATTAAGCATTCAACAGCTTTAACATCCACATAAACTGTAGATTGATATTTAAATAACCGTCTAAATGAGGATTCGACATTGACACGAGTCTCAGAGGACAGATATGAGGAACTCACTTTGTAGAACTCCTGATCCTCCACTTTGCTTCCACTGATGCCGTAACTGGAGTTGACAAGTTGCAGCTGCAGATCCATCTTGTCTTTCTTGCTAATCTGGAAAGTTAAGGCTGGATTTTAGTGAAGCTTCAAAGGCTGAACTGTCACTGTTAATAAACTGAGGCCAATCGGATCCCAGTGTTCTTTACGAAACGATGGACTGATCACACCCGTATATGGCACGTTCATACATCCTCCTATAGATCAGCACTTATTGAAAGAAAACTACAGTACTGCATAGGTTACTTTAAGAGTCATCTCAAAGCAGAACAGTAGAATATTAAAATAAAACATTTATAGTCATTTATTTATACTCGATCAGATATGAAATGCTTTACAACATAATGGCTATATTCAAAAGGGGTATTTAGAGAAATTACAGAGACTGATGGGTCCTGTTTCTGTGGTCAAACAGCGCCATCTAGAGCTAAATCAGCAATGCTCCACAGCGCGAGAAGTAAACCTCTTCCGAAACACAGAAAATATTGTCATCTCATAGACAGAAGTTATATTTTGAGTTTGAGCATTTTAAAAGGCTGGATTAAACTGGGTTTTGCTCATTTTGTTTTTTTATAGTAGTTGAAAAACTTACCGCCTCATAGTTTAGATTGTTTTTGTGAAGCCATTCCAGATTCTTTTTTGGATCCAGGTTCTTAAAGCGGTAGCGGAAAAGATCAATCTCCTGTTGTATGAACCAGCGCCTTAGATCTTCCCTTTAGATGGAAATAAATTATTGTCAGGGAATCTGAACTCTAACGACTTTTTGACAACATTTCTCCATAAAATGCAGATGAAACCACTGACTTACGTTTGGCAGTAGGCCAGCCTGAGAATGAAGTGGGAGATGTGGTCCTTCCTACGTTTGTCAATGTCATCCTTTGAGGGATAGAGAAGTCTAATCAAAAACTTCCTGTAATTAATCAGTGCTAGTTGTAAAGACAACTGGAGGACCAGTGGAAACTTTAGCACACATTAGAAAAGGTATTAAAAATAAAAATCACCATAACTAATCTATTACTGCTGTGTTAGGAATGTTTTTATTAAACATAAGCATACTTACAGAGTCTGATCCATAAGGAAAGTTCAGGGCTTTCAATTCACTATCCAGTTTCTTAGAGTACTGCTCCGATAGTTTCACACAGCTCACTCCTAAATTCTCAACGGTCTTCAGTACTGCAGTGGCATGGAGAGGGTTATATTGTAAAGTGAATACAGAAACTCAAAAATGAAATCTTTACACACTAAAAAAGTTCGTCAAAAGTCTTACATTTCAATCTCTCAACAGCCAACGTCTCAAATTCAGAGAGAGAGATGTTTTCAAGTGGAGGTTCTCCATAAAACTGCAGAGGCTGCCTGTAGAGGTCTGCCTTGGGGTTAATAAGAACCTTACTTTTCCTACCGCCAAACTGCATGATTCCTGATGATTAGAGAGAAAAAGGATATTTAATATCATGTTCTAAATCAGGCACGGCATCAGTCCTATTGTGTATCAAAATCTGCTGATTCTGACAACCACACAAACATAAACTTCTCACGAGCATCTTCACAAAAACGTCTATTGTACATTGTTATCTTTACTCGAATAAAGCCTAAATACAATAATGTACTGTACTCGTGGGTTTTACATTGTTGATGCTAGTCTCAGAGGGAAATTGGGTAGAAGAAAGAAAAGAGAAAACATTACTGCATAAACCATTTTCACTATCACATTATGGCTGACAGCTGGAATATAAAAACATCATGTGGACTGGACCCCAAACACGGTTATACGCTAAAATAAGTTACTCTAGTCTTTGACATAGCCAGAAATTGCTCTGTTAAAAGTAACAACAGCGTATTCAAAGCGATATAAACATTTGAAATATCTGCGTTTACAAAGCAGCTAGCTAACATACAGCAGCCAAATGAAGGTTATAAACTCTCTATATCACACAACCTAGGAGAACAATTTTAACAAAAATTTCTTCAAGACTTTACCGATATGAGGTGAAGCGGTTTAGTCTGAACTGAAGCCCGCCAAACACAGAGCGCTGTTCATGAGACGCGGGTAAAGGATGGTGATACAGGAAGTGCAACGCTGACGTAAGAAAGGGAGCACTCGATAAATTACTCCCACAGATCCGCCGGGTCCCCTTCAATCAGGGATTAATCAAATAAACTAGATGGGAAAAAGTCAAATCTCGCATAAAAAAAGAACTAAGGACGCTTATTTTCGCAATACCACAGTCACACCTTTGTGGCACTTTTTGCAAAATTATTTTAACAGAAAAATGAAGAAATCTTGAGTTAAACCATGGAGAAAACTTGAGCACCTAACCCTGAAAAGACAACTTGGTTAAACTTGCTCTAATTTCCACAATTTGTTTCCCAGAAAGACAAATGAAACATCAACACGTTCTGTTCCAATGGTGGTCGCGAGAACTACAAATGATCCCAAGCCTCCCTGGGCGAGACGTCAGACTCACGTTGGCTCTCTTGTCTCGTGCACTCGTTGGCGCTGCTGCTTAGCAACAGACATTAAGGAGCCACAGGGCGACTCAGTCTGACAAAAAAAACCTTAGCTAGCTATGCATTTCCACCCTGCTGGTGGTTACGTGATGGCAACTTCTACTCCTTAGTGTCATTTACATCCGTCGTTATAAGTCAGAAATCCTGTCTGTGCACTCGTCGGATAGAAATCAGTCACGTCTTGAGAATAGAAGAGGTTTTCGTTTTTCCAGGAAAATTGGCTAGCCGTAGCTCGGTAACCTTAGCACTAGAGTAACTGGCGTCTCCACCGGCCACGAAGAGGAACGGAGGGGGATGTAGATATGGGCTTGTGGGTTAGCCGGCCGGTTAACGGACGTTACATTGGCGTATGGACTTTAACGTGGTTTTAAAGGTAAGACACGAGCCACCGTGAGTGTTTGCTGGGTCTCCCTAACGTCTGCGTCATGTAGCTTTGAGGGGCGACACCGTAAGGTGCTCGGTATTTACAGACCCTGTCAGCTATTCAACAGGTCGAATCTTTACCGTGGTGAGGGAGTAGGATTAGGATAATAAGTAGAAATAAAGGTTTTTACTGATAAGCTCTAAAGTTCCACATAATAATGACAGCATCAAGTGAGAGAAATATCATTGTCGCGTGTCAATGAATTGTATTACTTACTTTTCGTGTGTCCTAAAGTGGTGTCTGTAACGGTACCCCGCCCTGAGGCCTGGACAAGGTAAAGCAGTGTCATGAATAATGACATAGTTCTGCTGCTATGTTTCACATTCATCCTTACCTGTTCAAAATTGTGTGGACAGCGGAGGACATAATCGGTTGAAAAGTATTACGACTAACTTTGTTCTCATGGAATGTAACTGTGGTGCTTTTAATGGAAGCTGTAACTTTCAGTTGCCCCTGTCAGATAGCTGTTTGTGGTAATATAATAATGATGATTTTGTAGTTACTGTCAACTTAACAATAGTGTTCAGCACTTGTCCAGATGTGAGGCAGTCTTTTGTTTCATCCATCACAGAGAGTACTTTGCAAACTCTTCAAATCAAGTGGTTCATCGTAACCTTTAAATGAATCCACAGCAATTCTAGACTGAGAGTCTGGAAACTTAGCATGTCTGAGATTCAGAGATAGCAATTTGTGCCTGAATCTCAGACACAGATCGCTTTTGACAACAGCAAAATAAGAGCAAGTTGTTGTACTTGAAGCCATTCATTTTTGCCTGCAGGTTATAAAGACTGAAGCATCATTCAGCTCATTTATAGTTCATGAATGATAACCTCCTCTACTGTCACACATTGTGACTCAAATTCAGACAGGCTGTTGGACGGCGCAGTCGCGCAGCAGGTTGCCGGCGTCCACTGAGAACAGCTTTGCCTCAATATGTTGTTTAACCTTGCACTCAGTCACTGCACACATATAGCCATGCAGGACCCAGTTGCCATGCAGTTAGGTTCTATTCAGTAGTAATGGAAGAATAAACATGCTTTACAGCAGCTTCAGGAAGATTCCCTCCAATATTTACAGCTGCTTAGTGTGTGTACATAATACCTTGAAAGGTAATTACAGCCTTAGTGGATAGAAAGCCATTTAGTCTGTATATGTAATGAAAACCTCTAATACTGAAATTAACAGAGGGGAAAAAATTAAACTTGGATTTCCAAACATCTTATTTAACAGGGCATGGTGTTTCTATATTACCAGTACATAATCAAATCTTCCCCTTTGTTTGAAACTTTTGCTGGCATGAGAGCTCAGCTATCCAGATTAGTCAGCTTTTCAGCAAATTAAATGTATACAAGCCTCAACTTTCAGTGTTTTTGTGGATTTGAATGTTTCAGCTGGTACATGCATTCGAGTAACATCACTGAAACTACAGAGTGCTACTGAGAGGACCGGTCAGACGTCACCATCATGTTGGAGGAGGACATGGAAGTGGCAATCAAAGTGGTCGTGGTGGGCAACGGCGCTGTTGGCAAGTCCAGTATGATACAGCGTTACTGCAAGGGCGTTTTCACAAAGGACTACAAGAAGACGATTGGGGTGGACTTTCTAGAGAGGCAGATTGTGTAAGTAGCTTGTTTGTAAAGATTTTTTGTGTTTCATTATCAGCTCAGCTATTTGATGCAGCTATTTAATGCAACTCTCATGCCAAAGCTGAGTTAAACTTTTTTTTTCAATCTTAACTGGAACAAGATTCTGTAGATGGCTGCTAAATTCAGCTTTGATTCTCCTCATTCCTTGCTGTCTGCTGTAGTGTGAATGACGAGGAGGTCCGGCTAATGCTGTGGGACACGGCTGGGCAGGAGGAGTTTGATGCTATCACCAAGGCCTACTACCGTGGTAAGATCTCTGCATTAGTGACCACTGGCTTCCCTCACCGCTGACTTAATGTGTTTTTTGGGGGGGGTTTTATCTTTAAAAAATTTATTTAGAAGAAATCTAGTGTTTTTGCATACTTTCAGCATAGATTTCTTTTAAAAATCCCAAATCTATAGTTATAGTTATAGCTATCGTCATTGCTGATATTATTGTTACATTTCGGCACTTTGCAAATTGACTCATGCAGCATGGCTTTGTTTCCCAGGTGCCCAGGCATGTGTGCTGGTCTTTTCAACCACAGACAGGGACTCATTCCAGGCTATTGACAGCTGGAGGGAGAAGGTGGAAGCAGAGGTTGGAGATATTCCCACCGTCCTGGTGCAGAACAAAATCGATCTCCTGGAAGAGACTTTAATAAAGAAGTAAGTAGTGCATTCCCTGTTAGAGTGAGCAAATATCGAGGGTATATTGAATGGTAACAGTGTTATATTCAGAGAAAATTAAAAGGTTGATGTTCTTTTTTGTGTTTGGGTTGCAGTGAGGAGGCAGAAGCTTTGGCTAAAAGACTTAAGCTGAGATTTTACCGCTCTTCAGTGAAAGAGGACCTTAATGTCAATGAGGGTGGGTGATGGTAAATGTGGACATGCAGTTAAATGCAGGTGAAATGCCCCCCTGCATATTCCATGTTAACATTTCTTATGTTTTCAGTTTTTAAATATTTGGCTGAGAAATATCTTCATAGACTTAAACAGCAAACTGCAGAGGAGACGGAGGTGGTCCATACAACAAGCAATAAAATAGGTCAGTGCTGCTTTTTTTTCTTCCCATCCCTGGTTTCTTATTCACAATTTAGATTGTGTTTATTCATTCGACCTGCACCACAGCTCATTTCTGTTTCTGCCCCTCCAAAAGGTGTCTTTAATACTACTAGTAGTAACGTCTGCAACCAGGGCTCCAGCAATGGCAGAGAGGTCATCACGTTGCGACCAAACAAACAGAGGACCAAGAAGAGCAAAAATCCCTTTGGAGGCTGCACCCTACTCTAAATAAAACTTTTAAAAAACTGACCTTTTACGTTTAAGATTAGATCATGGTTGTACTCTTTGGACGTAGCCACAGTTAGAGACCAAAGTCCACACAGACTGGGAAAATATACATAATACTTTAATAACTTGATGTTAATCTCAATCATGAGTTTTTCCCTCACAGTATCACTTGTACTTTGACTCAGCCCCAGTCTGTCTTCTTTGATCTGCCCACAGAACCTGACAACCCCTATCCATCCTTGGGTCCTCCTTGTGATTGCCTTAAGAAAAAGCTGCAGTTTGCTGTCATCAATCAAATGTTTCCGCTAACAGCTTATTTCTGTGAGCGGTGGTGAGGTTTTCTAAAAGGGACTCTCACTGAAAACATATCCTCTCTTCTATCTTTTCTGTCATTGCCATGTGTGACATCTCACTCGTGCAATATGTTTGCATGTATTGAAAAAGACAAACGGACTGTTTTGTACCGCTTTTTTTCCAACACTCAGCATAATGTGGTCAAAACCAGTCTGTTTCTCCCTAACAGAGTCTGAGGGGTAATCTCTTTGCAGAGGTATTTTTGTACTAACAGTGTTGAGTAATATTTTGTGCCAAATTTCTTCTATTTGAGCTGAGGTTGAACATTTAAACCACAGTGATTTGGGTGTGAAATGACATTTTTAGAATGTGCTCCTCTGCTTTCCAGAAAGTCAGTAACCACTTACACAAAACTATCTCTTTATACTGCCCACGCTCCCTAAAGTTGGATCTTTGTAAACCAAGCTCACATATTGAACGAATTCTCCTCTGATTTTTGTTTTGCTTTTAGAAATCATGACATGACATTTCCTTTGCAGTTGTTTACATTCACAGCTTTGCTCCTTTTATCTTTTAACGTTGGTACTGCTGATGAAAACTATGGTTTGGTTTCTGTGCCATTTCCTTTAGAATTTTCCTGTTCATCAGGCCTCATATGGTACTCTAAGACTAGTTGTTTATGAATAGCATTGTGTTCTGTTTGTTTTAGTTATGAAGAAAGAGTGAGGCCAGGAAGCTAGATGCTGTCCGCTTCATCATTTCTGTGCCTGTGGAAAGGTCTGAGGCAGGATTTAGTCGACACTAAATTGTGGAAGTGCTTTTGTGTGGCTGTATATGCAAGGGAATTATATTTCTTCTCACCACATGGCGACACTTCCACCAATATCTCTCATACTTCTTAATCTTCCATACTAGCTGTGAATTTTCTGGCATGCCTTATTTTCCTTAAGCCTTTTTTTTGTTTGTTTGCTTCAGCTGACAGAGCACAAATAACTACACAACTATGTGGAAAAGTCTTGAACTTCTGCCTGAAAAACACGAACAGTTTCTCATGTGTAAGTACTTTCTATGGAAAAAGAATACGCAGGACAATTGGGAGTATGTATGCATGTGTTTCTGTTTTTATGAACTAGAAAAATAACTCATTTGAGATGTTTCAGGTTTGTTTTGTTCCTCTTGTCCAAAGATGGTGCTGAATATGTTTTACACCGTTGGTACAAAGACCGTGTCCCATTTCAGATGTTTATCCCCCCTAGTAGGATCTGTGCAAACTCTACTCTGTGTTTTTCTTTTTTTGTGGGATGGGGAGAGAGAAAAAATGCAGTTGTCTCAGCCAGTTGTTTGAGGCATTTTGTTTCTCCAAGTATGTGAATGTTGAACCATGGTCGCAGTGCTTGCTCTGTTTACATTAACCAGTAGAGAGCGTCTTAACTCCCACTCTTCCTGTCTGTTTCAAACTGCCTGCACAGTAAATCTGTAAATGATTATTTCTCAAGCTTTCTCCCATTTGTTTACTCTATCATTTTGCATTTTGACTGAATGGACTTCGTGCACTTTATCAAAAAAGATGGCATTTATTCTAAAGGAATGCTCCATTGAAATTAACTATACATATGTGCTGTTACTCAGGTGTAATATTCTTTATGTTTGTCTCTTTTTTTTCTTCTGCTTTCTCGCACAAGAATTCATAGAATGTAATCGGTAAACTTCTAGAATTTGATGATTTTACTCCATTAAACTGACAGATATCAAGTGTGCTTGCAATCTGACTAAAAGGACACTCAAATGTGCACCGAGTTGTATATTTGGGATGCAGTGTTTGGTGGCAGTCTGACAAATAAAAATACATCTTTCATCACTTCACTCTTCATTTTCCTTTAACTAAACCTTTAAATCATTTGCACATTTCTTTTGATAGAATGATGCTACTGAGAGGTGACTTTCTCTGTTCTCTTTTTTTGTGAATCAGTAATCAGTTTTCCTACAGTAGAAGGGAATTTGCTCAAATTTAGTTAAGATTCTTAAGTGGAATTTTTTTTTGGGACTATTACTATGATCTGAAATGGATGTTTTAGTCAAAATTCAGACTTGGTCACACAAATGGCGTCATACTCGCACACATACTGTCATGTAGTTGTCAAACTGAAGGCATCTAGAGTAGTAGAACAGTTTCATCATGGTGTGCAGAGTTCAGAGCGGCTTTCAGAGGTGATTTCCAGATTCTGACGTGCTGTGGCTCTACAGCTTCTGAATAGCGAACTTAAAAATGTTTTTTTCCACTGATAGAAATAAGCTAATAAATGACAAATTGAAAGTCGTGTCAACTTAGAATGATTTATACAAGTTATTTATTAACACATAAAACTCTTTGCAAAAACATTAACTAAAGTCCACAGCTTCACGTGATGTGCGTTCACACAAAGAGGTAGCATATGCAAATCCTTCAAAATCCTAAAAACAGCTAGTCTTAAAAACTGAAGTGAAGAAATGGAAACAGAAGCTCCATCACAGAAATCATTGTTTGTCAACTTGGGTGAAAATAAATTGTGGCTTTAACCACTGGAATAAAAGAAAAGTGTTTCTTTTTTCCCTCTTATTTATGGTAGAAGAAAAAAAAACGTGCCGAGCGTATTTTGACAATTGTTCAGTGGCAAATTTCAGACATTTAAAGAGTCAGAAAAGGAGTTTCCACTGGGCTGCACACAGACCTGACATCTTTTCTGTGCCTGAACAGGGGGTGGGGGAGCATGCATCCTGTACAGTGTAGACATCACAACATCTGATCAGTATTAGGTGGGACCAGGTAAACGACAAAAGTCTGAAGGTAAAAGTTAGTATTTCCATTTGCTATAAGATGTGAGTATTTACTCTTTTTTTTTCACGTCACCATGGAAAAGGAAAGGTGATTCTTGGTGCTGTGTTTTAAGAAGTTAACGTGTAGAGAGTCACCACGGCTGTGCGTGAGGTTAGTGGTATTAAAGACACACACTGGGTTTTTTCAGGCGGCACGTGTTATTGGCTTCCGTTGTCGAGTTTCTGGTGATCCAGAATCTTGATGTTCTTCTCGGCATTGTCAACGTTCCTCAGCAAGGTCTCCAGCCGCCGCTTGATTTTCTTCTGGTCCTCCAGAGCGCAGCTGATCACCACGGCCTGAAACTTCTGGTCGATGGGGACGGCCGGCGCCTCGGTCACGCAGGCGGCGTGCAGGGCCAGCAGCTGCTGCCGGCCGGCCTCCATGTCGTCCAGCAGCTTCTTCACTATGTCGTCTATCATGGAGGTGGCCCGGCGCAGGGCCTCCTCCTGCTGGGAGCTCCGGATGGTGCCCACAGAGATCTCCACCGACAGGGTCCGGCCCATCAGACGCTCCGCGGTCAGAGTCAGCTCCTCCTTCTCTCCTGGAAGACACAAACAAATCAGACTGCATCTTTCAGTGGAATCTTTTATTCCCTGTCCAGGGCTTGACCGTAGCTGTAGCTTTGCTGGATTGATCCCCCGTCTTCCTGAAAATGTATTTTTCACTGCCAACTTGAGCAAGGGGAGTGGAATTTTCTGGTAATTTACTCAGACACAGACATATTTAAGTGTGTGTCACCATCCAAAACATTGGTGAAGTGAAGCTAAATGTGATGCCCTGTAATCCAAAATGAGACAAGGCCGGACAGACATAGCTGGACTTTGCCGGTAGACTGTGGTTGCATGTACATAAATATACAGAACATGCTGTTCATATGGGAGACATGCCAGGGAAACTAAAAACCGGAGTACATCTAATTTGATTCATGGTCTCTCAGCTGTTGCTTTGTGTGTGTGTGATCTGAAATAATGGTTAAATCTATAAGGAACTAAAACGTTTCGGGGTGCGTGAATCGACTCCTCCCAGCTTCCTGGTCATGGCCAGCGGTGCACAGGCAGAGCATAACCTCACCGGATCACAATGTCAGCGTGACATCAGAAGGGCTGGAAAATGCCAGATTTCAGAGCACAGCAGCGGGCGCGCCCTGGCCCTGTAGATGCTGCCCACTGGCATTAAGCGGAGGATAACTTTTGCTCTTATGTAAGTTGAAGAGGAATGATCAGCCTCACCAGCGCAGATGTCACGCATTTCTTGACTGCTCTGTACGGACTGAATCATTTCCAGGATGCACTCCCTTTCCTGCTCCATGGCAGATGCTGCTTCGCGTAAAGCCTCCACCCTGAAAAAGGCCAAAGGATCATCACAGCACGGAGGGGAAAAAAAAAAAAAAAAAACCCGTAAAAACACAACAAACCTACAAAGCTGGTCCTGGCCTGACCTTTATTTAATGACACAAAGCGTGGAAAGGGATGCCCGTGCTTTTTTTTTTTTTTTTCTGTCGCCAAATCCAGCTTTTCTAATGCAGAAAAAAGACGTTTGTTGAGCGTTTCCCAGCTGCAATAAGCGGTTTAAGGAGCGATCGGCCACACATGAGGACGGAGCCTCCAGCAGCTGTTCCTGCTCATGGCCAGGCCCCTTCCCCAGCCCCCTACCTTATTTCCAGCTGGTCCAAACTTTCCAGGAGTCGGCCCGAGCGGTCTGCCATGGACAGAGTCCTGCTGAACTTGCTACACACACTCTCGTTCATCTTCGCTTGTATTTTCGCTTGAGCCATGATGATGAAAGCTTCTTTTTTTTTTTTTTTTTTTTTTTTCTCCCTCCTCTCTATTATTCCAATCCGCTTCAGAGACTTAATCCAAAGTGCGAGCGGCGCTCCTCGCAGCAGCAGTGCGTGTGGTGAGTGTAGTTCCTGCGGCCGGAGCTGCGCCCCCGGGAGAACACTTCCTAACATGGGCTGGGACTTCCTTCTCCCCACTCCCATGGAAGCTTCCCGAGGAGCCCAGAACCGGAGCTCCCAAAGTGGCCCAAGTCTCCACGGGAAGACTTTTTGAGAAAACATCTTCTGATATTAATCTTGCATCTTTTTTCTAGAATAAAACACACATATATAATGAAATAATATATTCCCCCTTCTTTACAGCATGAGTCTTCGTGGGCTTATTTATCATAACTGACATAAAATCATTTAGGAATTAACTTTAGGGGTCCTGCTTTTCATTTTCACAATAATAAAACATAGTGCCTCAGTTTATGCCATTACCAATAACAAAGAATGACATTAATAATAGATAGCACACGGCTGTGTACATTTATGTGGGTTCTGTAAATTAATGCTTTTAATCGGGGCAGTAACAGAGTTTCTAAGAGCACATGCGTGGTTTTCTGATTCTTTAAGACAACTTCATCCTAGGTTACAGATATGTGCCACTATGTTCCTGCCAACATAAACACACTTTCATTCAGAAAAATAGGTTTTATTCCAGTGCACTTTAAAACCTTTGCTCTAAACTCTAGCTTTTCTGCTGCATGAACTATACCAGCACAATACCTACTAACAATAATGCTCTCAATCCTGCAACAGAACCAGAGACCTGAACTGGACACCCAGTCAACACTTTGGTAACGGGGTCAGCTGAGGCATCTCGCAGTGTCACCGATGCCATCTTTAGCACATGTGTCGACACTTTTAAGAGTCTGAGTCTTCAAACCAGCCTCAAACTGACCTTCTAAACAGAACAGAAGGAGCGAAAATAAAACAAGCGATATTTATTTATACACATGAATACAGTGACCCAGGACAAAACATTACAGTAACTGGTAAACTGCTCACAAAAAAAAGGAAAAAAAACAAACTGATTTTTTAAACTTAGAACTCCAGAAGGCTTCTTTTCAGAGCTTCTTCCAACTCTGTAGAAATAAACAGAAGATGAGGAGATGCACATCAGTATGGCAGACGGCTGCTGGCTTGTTCTTCATAGCTTGTTTGGCCCCCTTTTATTCTATATCGAATAGTGAATGATTAAAGAGATATGATCAGTTATGAAACTTTTTAATCTTCCCCTCTTTTCTGGTCTAAACATTTCAATCTATCCATCCGCTGCCGTGAGTTGAATGCAGGGATTTAATGATTTGTGATGAAAACAGGACAAAGCGTGGGGCGGCTGTGGCCGTCACGTGGCCCGCTGACACATACCTGCCGACTCTCTCGCTGCATCCTCGCTTGGAGACGAGGCGTGGTTCATTTCATCATCCGACTCATCTGCAACACACAAACACACACAGATAACATAAACATTACATACAAGTTAAATTTCTATCTAATTCTTGTATTTTTTTGCTTACATCCTTGTTGTTCTTTTTCATTGGTCACCTGGCTGATGTTTAAAAACTTTGCCAGCTTCTCGTCTTCCATATCTGGTCAAATAAAACCAAAATTAAATGCAGCACACAGGCGCGACTGAATGGCAAATGCTGAATATCTTAAATGTTTTACCAGCGCTGTGTGGTTTGACCTCCACAGCATGCAGTACTTTCACAGCAGAGGGTTCTGCTTCGGGGTCCTTCCCGCTGATCCTGGAGCTGGCGCAGGGTTCCAGAGTGCAGTGCTGGGTGTGATAGTGCTTATGGAAACTCGGGACGCCATTGAAACTCTCCTGGCATGCTCCGCATTCCACATGGAAGGACTTGTCCAGGTTGAGGGCTGCGTGTTTGGTGTGGACGTGAGTCTTCATCTGTGCGTAGGACGGCACGGACAGACTGCAGGGAGCGCACACATACTGACATTTGCCCTCAGCAGCGAGGCTTCTCATGCATTGCGTGTAAGTAGCTTTCATTTTCTGCTTGCTCTCTTCTAAGCTCATGCACGGGCACGTAGGCTGGAGACTTTCAGCAGCGGCAGGTTCCACGACTTCGCTGTCGTCCACACAGTAGTAGTCCTTACTGTGGAGGCTCACGTAGTGCTCCGTGAACTCGTCCTCGGATTCAAACTGCATGCTGTCGCAGAGGCCGCAGAAATAGAAGCTCCTCACCTGCCCGTCGTGCTCGTTCACACAGTGCCTGCGCACGGTGGACTCCTTAAAGAACTTTTGAGGACAGTGTCCGCAGATGAATCTCTGAAAGCTGTGGCTGCTCACGTCCGCGCAGTGCTTGAGGACGGCCCGCTCCGAGTCGAAGATGTCCTCACACATCCTGCACATCCACATGCGGCCCGCCCCGGAGGAGGGAGTGTCCGCTCGCTCCGGCCGGCTTTTGGACGCAGAGGAGGAACGCAGCGGGCCCTCGCGGCTGGTGGAGGCCTTGGCTTCCACCAGTGTGGCGGCATCATGGGGCACCTCTCTCTCGGTGAAGTAGGTGTGACCGCTGTGAGCTTCTGACACGTGCAGCAGGATGTCTTCCTTTCGGGGCATCTCCACTTTGCACTTTCGGCAGTAGAACAGGAAGTTGGACAGGTGCGCCCCCCCGTGGAAACGGCTCATATGCAGGCGGGCAATCGAGGACTCTCCCATGTGTTTGCCGCACACCCCACACTGATGGAAGATCTGGTTAATAGCCAGGAGATGCTTACCGGCTGCGCTCTCCTCTGAGAACCGTGAGCCACACTCACAGAACCAAGCCGATGCCGAGCCTCTGCTGCCACTGGCGCTCACGCTCTGGCTCAGTTTCTGCCGTTTAGCCGGAGAGCCGTCACAACTGCTCCTCTTCTTGGCTGCTGACTGTCTCCTGTCCTCTGCCTCTGCTGCCCTTTGGGTAAATCTGCTGAACTGAAGAAGGGCCTTTGCCATCGTTTGATTGACCTCCACGTGGTGCTGCAGTGATGCTTTGTGTCTTTCCACTTCAGCCCGGCTGAGGAAGAATTTAGAGCACGGGGAGCACTGCCCTTGCACTTGCAGCTGTGTCATAACTTCCACTATGGTTTTGTCCGCCTTGGCCACAGCACAACCATGTCTACAGTGCACACTGAGAAAGAAGAGAGAATGGATCACTAAAAAGCGGTTCAAGTAAAATTGAACATGTGTTACCACTGAATAAATCACCATGGAACATACTTAAAGTGGGCTTGAGCCGCTTGATGTGAGATCAGTGCTTTGTGGCATAAGGAGCAGCGGACAGTGAAGGCAACATCCTTACACAAAGCTAGGAGCCGATTCTTAGCAATTTGTGGGACAGGAACTGGAAGTGCTGCTCCTCTGCTCTCTTTAATTAGAAAGGGAAAGCAGAAAATAAAGGCTGGTTTGATCATCTCAGCTTGTTGCATTTCCCTCTCTCCTACAACAATTAATCATTTGGGAACTGATCGTTAATGTGTTAACGCAAAGCTTGCAATAAAGTTGAATAAACCTTACCAGTCATGCTGAGTGACTCTGTGAAGTGGTTTTTGGCTGACATGTGCTGCAGACACTCATCGCGTAGGTTGAAGAGAAGGTAGCAGGCAGGGCAGGCAAAACACACAATCCGCTGGTAGCTCTGCTCCAGGCTGTGATCATCAGGGCTTGATGAGGACACCTGTTGACCGGGAGCCACTACATTTATTCAGAATTGTTCAAAGATAAGATTATTCTCACGGAACTGTGAGGAAAGTGGCTCAACCTTTGACACAACATGTCCCCTCCATGCCTCTTTGGTTTGAAAATGCTGACCACAGGCAACGCAGGCAAAGAGTTCAGGCGGACTTCCTCTGAGATTGATCGCTGGATCACATGGAGAGTGATCAAACCTGCACACAGGGGGTTGTACACATGCACAATATATCATATATGGCACAAAGGGAACATGGTGAGAATGTGTGTGAAAAAGGGAGGTACCTTTTTAAGTGCCCCTCCAGGAGGGAGGTGTGGTCATAAACACGGCCACAGTTAATAACTGGACAAGTGTGTCTCGCTGAAGTGTTTCTGGGGAAAGAAGGAGGAATGTGTCTTCTTCCAAAGCCAGCACTGATCACTCCTGGTTTAAGACCTAAATAAACAAAATGTTTTACTGAATCAGTGACACAGCATCAGTTAAAAAAAAAAAAGCAAAAAAAAGACAAAAACTTCAACTTTGTTATGACACTACAAAATATTTTAAGGTTTTTGTCTTTGCTTTCATTTACAAAGAAATATATCCAGGTTGAAAACCTGCCTGGCATCTTCAGCCACATGTCCACACAGCGCTTTGCCTCCTGACTGGTCCCATTTGTGGAAGTAACGGCCAGCTCCTGCTGCCCATGAACTCTTTGTAAGATTTGTTTCTCCTGAAATGGAGACACGTTATCATAACAAGTCCTGCTTCGAAATGCTACTGAATGAAAGAAATGCTTCTGTCGGCTGGAAATGTTTAATATAAACACTGTAACAGTCTGTGTATTACAGCCGACTGTGAATACAGCATTGTTTGTTCATAATGATACTCCAGATTAACTGGCTATTAGTTTCCCATCTTGTCTGCCCACCAGATGGCACTGTTGCTTTCTCATCTGACCTGAATTGACATCACAAAACAGAAGAAAAATAATATTGTGCGTGTTGTACTGTTTAATCTTTGCTTAAAATCAGAGGACAAAGGTTTCTTAACCAATAAGATGACTATACTGATGAGATGTTTGAGGGTAACAAGCGGCACATGATTCATGTGCAGTAATTTGGTACACATGAAGCCTTACCTTGAAAGCCCTACATTTGGCGGCTCTTTCCTTTTTGTCCTGAGCCACCTGCTGCGCCAGGCGGTCCAGTGTGGACGTAACGCGTGCTTTCTGTCGGGTGATTTTGTCCTACAGTGAAGAGCAAAGTAACACTTTCATGAGAATTCAGACCAGGATTAAAAGAATGATGTGTCATTTAAAAAACAAAACAAAAGGATTATCTGTTTTGAAACTGACTGTGGCTGACAACGATGAACAGGCCTCATCCTCACTGTCACTCAGCAAGTCAATACAGTCCAGTACTGGTCGAAGAGGACTATCCTGAGGAGCAAACCACCATGTTTAAACAGTTACACAACAGTCCCCCAAACCCCAGACTTTGTGCTCTAAAAGAGCGTAGTTCACAAAGGGGACTGACTCATTCAGTATATACTACCAAAATGTTGAGTTCTGCTAACTGGCTATATCTGACGGCATTAAAGAATTAATCATTTCTGCTGCGATCTTCATGCCAAACTATTGTCTAAAATCATAATGTAAGGATGTAAATTGTATTAACTAACAGGCAATAGACTCTCAAAATGAATATGTAAATTAATTCTTCCTAAAAATCACAAGTGTTATGTGCTGCGTATGTACAAGACTCAGAAGCCACTGGACTACATCAATAGAGGAAAAGACAAATGTTCAAATTAAACACATTAAGCAGTGGTGTGGAATTATTTCAAACAGAGCAGAGAAACAAAAATTGATTTCAACCGATTGTGTTATCTTTTGTGAATATTGCACTCTCCAGAGATAGATGGACACGTTACGTACAGACACAAACTCCACTTCTTCTTCCACATCGTCCTCCTCAGCTTGGGTTGGAGAGGACATCTTCTCTGAGGAAAAACGAAAAGCAAGTGCACATTTTCAAGCTGTGTTCTACCTGAGAGCGTTTGTGCATCATAATTAGCTTAAGATAGTATGTGTGAACTCTTAAGAGCATGGCCGGCATTTGCTTCTTAGCTGTATAGCAACGGAAACGTTATATAAGAGCAAAGACACGTTGATAACGGATGGTAACAAACTTACTTATGGTAACAAACGCACGAGACTTGTCTGCTTTGACAACACAACTAGCTTTGGCCGAGAAATTAGCTCACAGCTGTAACAGCGACTTCATGTCAGGCTTGTGTGTCAGACTAGACTTACTCCAGTATATCGAAAACGATTGAAGACAGTATAACGACTGTGAATTCACCACGGAGCAGAGTTTCTTCTTCGTTAAGCTTTCAGAGGTTTTCCACTTGTGTGCTGCCACTGAGGTGGGAGCCGCATCGTGCCTGGTTTAAATCAGTGTTGTTGTAATACCCCTCTACACCACTAATGGCGGGACTGAGAACGGATTGTTGGTCGTAAGAAATTTTCATTCACGCGAAGAAGTAGTTACCCGCCAATGTGTAACGTTCGAGGACTGCAATAAATTGGAAGTAAAAATGCACTTGGCTGTAGCATAAGCCTGCCTTTAATCACCCGCGGGAAATATCCTAACTGGTCATCAACATAACTGTTTGTTTTTTCTGATACGTGATTACCACTAACTATTTCGTTTTATTTTTTAGTTGTTTTGGAGTTTCTTTTGCAGCGAAATCTATAAGCAGGATGCTGGAGCAAGCTAACGTTAACTGCCCCACATTTGTGGTTAAAGATACCTTATATTGCTCAACAAAGGAGACACATAAACATATGGCATGCGTGGGTTAAACGGATACGTTCAGCCAAAAGTACCTTTGCCTAATACTTCTCTTGTTGACTCTTCCGTTGACAGCGTGGTCTTTTAGTCTCTACTACAACGATCGAAACCAACGTAAACGCAGCCAAAGTGATGTCCAACGTCGTGAGTAATGTGGTACGCTCCTTTTGAATGCGGAGAGTGCCGCAAAGACGGGGTTATTGTCTTTTGCAGCAGAACAAACGCAGAAAAAGTAAACTCCTCCCGTCTGTTTGTGGCTTATTCTGGCAAGAGGATGATATTAGTCAACTCGTATAGCATTCAGTCTTTTGAACTGCATTAGATAGAGTGGCATTGTTTACCTTTATTTAATGAAAAAATAGATTGGATACATTTCACAGAATGGTAATCTTTAAAACACAAATGAAAAAAAAAGTATTGTGGTTAGTTTATCTGACATAAGAAAGGATATCTCACTTCCTCCAAAATGTATATGTTTAAGATGAATATTGGATAATTGTTTTCTTTTTGTTTTGTTTTCTGTCTAGTTCTGAAATGATCTGTGCATCACAAGAGTTACTTTACAGGGATTCATTCAGAGTATGCTTGTTCAGAATGAAGGTGCACTGTGGTAAAGGCATCCTCCTACCCTTTCCCCATGAACCATCAGTGGACTGACACAGGCACCCATGGGCCACAGTGAGTTAGTGTGGACTAATGCAGCATTATCCTGTAGGCAGGCCACTCTGCACCACATTACTGCGATGCTGGATGAATCTGCTGACTCCCCCTGCTGCCCCTGGCAAAATAAATAAATAAATAAATAAAACGTGCGTCTCTGCTGAGTCATGCGTTGTACTTCAGATTAACGGTATCAGTAGTCTGGGCTGTGCTTTTCTGACCCTATGGGCTTTTCCACGTTTAACTGTGTGATGCTTCACGTGTGTCAGCGAGCGTCTTTCTCCTCATCTCGAGCTTTCGGCGGAGGACCGGCAGGAGAGGAGCCAGCTGTCTGAGGCGGGGGGGGATCTGTCCCACATCTCGCCTTATGATGATCGCTGCGGCGTTTCTGGTCCTGCTTAGGCCGTACAGCATCCAGTGCGTGCTGCTTTTGTTGCTGCTTTTGCTCGGGACTATTGCGACGATTTTGTTTTTCTGCTGCTGGCATCGCAGGCTTCGTAATGGAAAGCATCCAATAAAATCTGTCCTCTCCGGCGGCCGCTCCAGGAGCCGCGGTGAGTAGCGCCTGCAGGCCGGCCGCATCTCTCCTATTTACAGACCTTAATGGGTTTGGTGTTAGTCTGTTTGTCACCTGAATGGGACTGATCTGGTGAAGTAAACCTCACCTGAGCCAGGTAACTGCGTCAGCGTAGTTAGACAGGGTTAAAACGCCCTGAATATTTACCAGGGGTGTGTGTTCTGTTGCTGTGATGTGTGGTTTGATATGTCACTCTGAGTGGTACAAGTCTGAACAGTGTCTTATTCTAACATCTGCTATCTGTCTTGTAGTCGGTCTGCGAACTCATCACTTTCGATCAGAGGTAGGATGAACTTTCCACATTATGATTTTGTATATTTTGTAAATGCATAAGAAAGTTTATTTTTAATTTGAACGTCAAATGCTTTGTAGCACAATTTCACACGGGCTTCGCTCCAAAGCCTCGTTTCTCGGACTTTTATCCGGGACTGACTGCATGGCTATTTTAGGAACTATGATGTGCGCATTGCGCATGTGTTATCAATAAATGATGTGGGTGATTTAGCAATTTTATGCTTTGAGATGGATTAACACGCTTGTTCTCGGACAGACGTTGCTTTAACTTGAAGTTTGAGTAGGCAGAAGCCCTCTGAGGTTTATGATCCATTTGGGATTAAAACCATCACATTTTGTGACGTGTGAATAGAACTTTGTTCCATCTGTTTCCGTTTTGCTCCACTTCGTTTCAAAATAAAACGTGTTAAATCCTCGTGGTCCACGTGAGTAAACCTTTTCAAAATACGTGGAGATGTCTCAAGTGGAAATGAAGAATTGGTATATTGGGTGAAAAGGTCTTTCAGCAGCTCATATTCATGTCACCCAGGACCTTAATGAAACTATAAGGAAGGGTGTTAATGGCAGAAATGGCTACACACTTAATACTGCAGAGCTGTAGTAAAGACATTTTTCATTGAACGTTTAATACTTTACTTTCTGTAGACGCTGTCAATATGTACACTTATTTTCCTTTAGATTTCCTATAGTTTTAAACCCATCTTTCATGGGTCATGTTATTGAACCACAGGATACTGAGTCCCCACTGGCTTTGTGCTGTACTGCTGGAGATTCGGTTTCATTTTCAAGGACAGTACAGACTGTTGTTGAGCTTTAACTTAAGATAGAAGCACTATTATATACTATTACCACAAGTAATATAACCTAAAATGTAAGTCTCTTGAATTATTATGTTTGCATAAAATGTTTGCTGTGGAGGTTTTGTACCTTCGGCCGAAAAAAATGTGTTGAAATCATGCTGAAAGTAGGGTTATATCTATGTTCTGTAGTTGAGAAAAGCAGTTTCATTACCCTCAATATTAGAATGAATTTTAAATACTGAAAATATAAAACTTACCATTTCAGATTGTCAAACACATTTGTTCCACAATGAAAATAAACCTACCTATTGTAAAATTACCTAACGTCATCAGCAGTAGTGCAGAATAGTTGTTGGCTACTTTTATTCCCTTGATAGTCTTTGTTTATGGAATAAAATCATTCTGACACAGCTAGATTGGTGCTTGCTAAAATGTTGAGTGTTGAATGCATAGTGTGGTACTACCAGCTTACATTTTCTCATGTTTCACAGGGTTTTAGGCACAGTCCACGTCACTTAAGGAGGAGCATACATGCTCGTGTGATAGAGGAAAAGCCCAATCTGGTTGAGGTTCCTGAGAGTGAACCCGACTCGTCATCGACGCTTAGAAAACGCAAAGTGAAGAAGAGAGTCCTGCCAGAGTTTTACCAGTCTGTGCAAGTCACTCCTACTCGTAAGGCTGTAGGTATCTCCCTTTAACTGTCACCATTAGTGTGCATGACAAAATGATGCTGTTTTTGCTTTTTCACACTCAACAGGGAACATCCGTGTGTCTTTGGAGCTGGTTAGGATTAACTGGCTCAAGGACACGGAGCAGATGTTTGTCATAAGGGCTTAGGGCTTGTGTGTGTGTTTGAAGAATGCCTCCTTTATAGCTCATTTGAAATGAAAGGTTATTTTACCCTACATGTTTTGTGTAGTAACTGATCATTACATGACACACACATCTATAATTGTACTTTTGCATGTGATTTTTCTTTGAAGACAAAAAATGTCTGAGTTTATTTATGCAGAAAATGTTGCTAACTTTTATGTCCTTTTAGGTTACTTTCAAAGACCCTTCAAGCTTGGCTTTAAGCTTTTTTTGTATTGATTTTCTTTTGTTAATTAACTCAGAAAAAAGTCTTTCTCTGCCAAAATAATTCACAAAACTTGGGAAAATACAGTATATTTATATTTACATGCACTTAGATTAACATAAATTCACAAGATGTAAAGTTCTTTACCAACAAAAAACACACTGTAGTATGCTGTTTTATTTCTAATGTTAGTCATTACCTCTAATTTCCCAGGACTCCATTTCAAGTTCCAAATGATAATGATGTTATTAGAGAGTCTTTGATGTCTGTTCACTTTGTCTCTGTCATCCTGTTCATGCTGCTACATGTCATCAGCTCAGATTCAGGTCTTTGTTAATACTGCCTCTGTTTAAATCCCTCAGCTTTTCATTTCCACATCACGACTGTGTTACTCTGTGAACTTTGTGCACAACTTCCAAAGAAGTGTGTAGCGCTGTTCTTCAATACCATTATCTTTTCAGACTGTCTGGAAAAAAAATCAAGAGACAGACCAAGACTTGCAAAGATAAATATAGGAAAATTGAAAAGATCAGGGACACACAGCACTTCCAGGAATATTGAATATGGCCACAATAACGTATTTTTGAGTGCTCTATGCTCCAGTCTTAGAATAAGTAATTCTGCCCCATGAGAGGAAATTCTGGATTGAAATTCATAAAGTCATGATCTGTGCATCTGTTTTTCTAAACTGTTCCAGGTCTATTTAATATTTTTTTCAAATTATGTTGTCCTATCCTCCTAACATGGGTATTAAATATAAAACCTAAAATCTATTTGCTCTGCAAAGGTCTTTGACTTTTTCTGGATGGAATTCTTTATTTGTGTGAGACTGAACCGTCAAAAACTGTGTGATGTTGGAACCTCCTAATGTTGAAAGTATTGAATGTATTGAACTTATTGATCTGCGTTTATCGAGTGCATGATGGATTTAGATAGCTAATAGATCAGTGTTTTTTCTTATTATTGCAAAGGTCAGACAAAAAGAACAGTGACTTTTTCCACACTTTTATATACTTTAAATTTAGATACTGTTCTTTCAGCGGTAAACCAAAAATGGTAAATTCTGGTATGAGACTGGCAGAAAATTAATCAAATAATGCATCATGTGAACTAATGCTCAGCACAAACTGCTAGCCATGCATCATTTACAATATATTTACATGTGTGGCCTACACCAGACTGTGCATTATGAATTATTTACTATGGGTGACTTTGATCAAAACCATATTTACCCTTTGCTTCTAAGCATGTAATGTTTTTCAATGACCTAGACAAGTGTTAATCTGACAGGAGACCATGGAGATGATGTCTTTTCACTTTGTCTTCCAACTGAAACACAGCAAGGAGCATTTAAATTAGAAATGTAAAAGAGCCTCACCCTCCAAAGCATAAGGCCCAAATTAAATGCATCTCAGATTCCCTTTATATCTACAATAACAAACACATAAAAAAATGAAATGCTAAATTTATAGAGGAATCATTTAGAGGCCTTTCTGATAGGGGGCATGGGCCTGTTGTCATCTAGCTGACAGGAGGATTTGCTAGACTTTGAAGTGCTCTGATTCCGGTGCATTTTGCTTTGTTAAATAAAATTTCAAGTCTTGCGAACATACATTTATGTTAATTAGTATGCAAATATATACATTTAAAAAACACTTTCCTTGAATCCTTTCCTTGAAATGTGTCCCTTTTAATGGAGGAGTCTGATTTAGAAAAAATGCTACACTAAGCTGCCTTTTAAAGCCTCAGATTCATCCTGATGAAAGTGATGTAACGATCAAATGGTTGATAAAATTGGAAGCGTGCTGCCTTTATCAGCTTTGTAGTTTCTATTTTAAACCAGATATCCTTCACTGTGGCCCAGTGAAATAATGTTCTCAGCATGACCATTTCATACAGCAGCTTATACGTTTTAATATCATCCAGACCAAGTAGGGTGCAGAATCTTTTCGCTGGACCACAGCAGACTGCTTTAGATTACGTGAAAATACCATTTTTTATCATGAAAAACTGAACGTCACTGTCCAGGTATTTTGCACCCCACCCATCTCCTTAAAGAAATGTGTCCCTGTATTTGCTTTGTTGCTCAACCTCAGGAGTGTCAGGGTGCAGCAGGAAATTGCAACAGAAAACCATTCATGGGCTTATCCTGCACATGAGTAACTCCAGAGGAAAAACTCAGAGGAAAAATCATTGTTGCTTTGCACTGTTGGATTAATAGTACACTTTATCTTATTTAAAGGCTGTAATAGCATTTTCTGCGTTGAACTTCCATTTTTACATTAAAGTCTTATCGCTGTTTATTCAGTGAGACTAAAGTGTGCTGGATAATGAAAAGTGTGTCTTTCTTGCCATGAGAAAGCGGGATCTCCTGCTCTTTTATTTGCAGCCAGTTGCTGCCTTTGTGTCGGGATGGCGCTCTAACACCACCCTGACTGTTGGAGCTGCTGTTGTTGGCTCTGACGCGCAGACACATGCAGTCTGCTCTCCCATCACGGTCCAGCTCTGCCTCGACAACACACAGCTCAACATCCTTCCACATCTCTGGAGATCTGACATCACCTCGCGGCTTTAATGATCCCATAAGGGAGAAACGCGCGATCGGAGCATCCCTCCAAGGGCGTGGCACCTTTAAACATGTCACTAAAGGGTGAAAGCTAAAAACACCCACGTCGGATTTGTGTATTTATTTTCATTTTCTTCCAGCTGACGGGTCTCCATGTATACAGTGGTGAGTCTTATTCCTGACCTAGCGGGGGAGCCAGACATGCTTTCATGCTCCTTTTTATATGGCCCCCTTTTTATTGTTTTGCCTCACACCTGATATGCGCTCAAATTACGCACCTTGACCAGCCATAGAGAGAAGAAAAAAAGGAATACTATTGCACCGAGCTCTATGTAATCTGTCTTCCCGTTTTTGTGTCAATTCATGACTGTTCATTTTCTTTTGTCTCACAGAGCTCCAGCTCGGGGAACCCTTCCCTGCACTGCTCTATGTCTTCCTCGGCGGATATCTCGGACGAGGATGATTACAGTGTTAAATCCGGGTCGGCATCCCCGGCGCCCGGCGACACTTTACCCTGGAACCTGCCAAGACATGAGCGGTCCAAAAGGAAGATCCAGGGAGGATCCGTGCTGGATCCGGCGGAGAGAGCTGTGCTCAGGATCGCAGGTGAGGGACGCTTGCCTTGTTGTTACTGCAAGGATTAATATGGCCAAAGACTCAGTTATTGTGGGGATTACATAATCTATTTATTTCAGTTTCCTTTTCTTGTATAGTCATCCTAAAGTGGACACCTATTTGTGGCACGTGTGGTGGTATTTTAGAACAATATTATTTCCCATTAAGCAACGTTTTTTGTTTTTAAAATGGCTATTAGTGTGTTTGTGTGTGTGTGCCAAGAAAATGTAATTGCATTTAATTTGTGTGTAAAGGATGAATAAAGACAGATTGACGGATTGAAATTAGCTAAACAAGTGGCTTAATCTGCTGCTGGGAAATGACTATTATAACAATTAAGTGTTCTTTGACTTATTGGATGTCGTAAACCCCTTTAAAGCTGTGTTCAAAGTTTTAAATGAAATCCCGCGAGAATTCGCGTGACAATAATGTGACAGCTGACATGATGACACAAAAATACATGTTTTTTGTTGTTGTTTTTACACTTATTTTATTAACCTGCCAGTGTTACTTGAAGTTGGGGCGCCTTCAGGACTGTTGGCACAGTAGGCTATATTTTCACAATAAGAGGCATTTATTCTTGATTAGTTAAATATTTTGGTTGTAAGAATGTAAGCATTTCCGGAGTAGTTTTCCTGTCAATATTGGGCTACTTGGCTCGTTAACAGGGACGTTTTTATGGCGGTGCAGTGATTCCGGCTGTCCTTTCTATCAATCTTGAGAGAAAGTGCCGCCTATTGGTCAGGACGCAGACATGGGAGGTATATAGGGCGTTTCCTTCCGAACGACAGCAGCACCGTTCATTCCCGGTTCCTCAGCACATACACAAGCACGCAGATGCACACACACACACATGTACACACACGCGTGCTGTGTCCCTGTCCGTCTCTGGTGAATGTCCAGTCTCAGAAGCCCGGGTCATGGCTCAGTACGCGCCGCAGGCTTATGTTCTCTCGGACGAACAGGAATACCTCCAAGCTTATGAGGATGTGTTGGAAAAATATAAAGGTAGGAGCGTTGCTGTGCGGACATGCTTTTAGGGGGTTTTAGACGATGAACAACTGGTCCGGTTGCCACTTGACAGCTCAGTAAATGTCAGCCTGCCCCCTCTTCCTCTGTGGTGGCTGGCTGGCTTCAGTGCCTGTCCCTGCTGTGGAAAAACGGGAATATTTCCTGCATGACATCACATTTAGGCTGAATTGAACTGTCGTTGACAAGGGCTTTATTTTTACATGATGCTTGTTATGATTGCTTTTATTCTATGATTGGATCGGATGGTTATTTGTCTTGTTTTGATTTTAGATTCAGTTATACCCAGGGGACAGTTGTAAAAGCCAGGCCACTGTGACAGGTTGAGTGCATTGTGTACATCAGGCTGTGCCAATGTACAACTTATTATTAACGCTTGTTTTTATAAAAATGAAGAGCTCATGATGGGAAATAACTGGTCAGACAGTGCTAAGCAGACTTGTGTGGTGTCTTGAGCGAGGCAGGACAATGACATAGCAGGATATGCTGTCAGTTCACATCAGTGGCAAATGTCACTTTATCTAGCTACTCTTTTTAGTCTATCACATTAATTAGATCAAAGTCCTCCCACAGAACGGGCTCCCTTTACGTTGTGTCCAGAGTTTGAGACAATCAACTGCGTTTCTCCTCCGACCAGGCCAGTGGACGTCCAGTGGGGCTGAATTCAAACTGACAGGAGCAGTTTTAACTCTTTGTGCCTCCTTTTCACTGTGGCTCGCAGAGGGAATCAATAGAACAAAGAAGAACAAATGCTGTGCACCATCGTGAATACTCAGCTGTTCAGTCTTTTAGCCAGCAGGGCCAGTCAGCTGTGGTACAAGGCTTAAAGGCCCTGAGTGGACTCTAATGGGATCATATGATGCAGCATCATTAGGAATCTGTAACGGCTGTCTTCAGGCAGATGATCTGTGACAAACAACAAGCTTAGTTATTTTCTGTGTTATCAGCCTTCACAGCTGGACTGCAATCAGCTTGTGCATGTACTGTATTGATTTGGGGAATATTTAACTGCTGCTGTTTGAACAATGAATTTGTTAAAGAAGGGTAAGACTTTTGTTTTTGTTTCATTCATGATGATCAGATAATCTGTTTAGTCAAGATTTGTGTTTATTTTTTGCATTATTCAATATCATTTTACACTCAAATATTCGGCTGAACTGACTAATCCTTTAAGAAGCAAGAGATCATCTAATGGGTTTATAATTCCTCTGTGCAACATCCCACAGACTTCCATCAGCTCTTTTTTACAACCAGCTTCATGAAAAATGGAAAAAAATAGGTCTTGTGTTATGATCGCTGAAGCTAATTTATTCTCAACATTTATTCACTACAGGTCATCTTATGTGACAGGGAATAGACTAAGCCAAGCAAAACAGTGGATCTCTAATGGATGAGAGCAGTAAACAGCTATTCTGATCAAAAGTTTCACATTTAAGGGTTGTTTTTTGCAGAAATGACTGTGTTCAGTATCATAGAAAGACGGGAACTGCATGCTGAAAAATTAACTTTATTTCTCCGCTGCAGTTAATGTGTGTTTCCCCAGTTGTGTAAAGGGCTCATGGTGCTGGTTACTTTTTAGAAACAGTCAGGTAATTTTTAAGCAAGGGGCTGGCAAAATGCTGGGATACGTTGTTGTTTTTGATATTCCTTAAGTTGTACCGGCAATTGATTTGATAACAAAGAGCCCCAAGCTTCTTTCCATGTGACGCATACAGAATCAATGAGGGGTATTTTCACAGTACAATAATATTCAGTAACCAAGCAAACATACCAGTAAACAAAGTATTGACTGGGTCACTTATAAGATAGGGGTAAGCTTCCGCAAAATATAATCAGGTCATTTTCTCATTCAATTGTGATCATTCAGGCATGCACCTTTATGTTGATCATATTTGGTAATTTATTGATGTTTTATTAGCTTTTATCTGGCTTCTGGAGCTGTCAAACAGCTTTGAGATATTGTCGGCTGTCAGAGTGGATGAAAAGGGAAAAGGGAGAAAAAGACAATCGCATTTTGTTTTACACGGTGTCAGTGTCATGTAGTATCCTACTCGCTGTCCACCCCCAGTGTGAACTTTAACATGACAACTGAGTATTGATAGATGGAGTTCGAAATCCTAAACTCGTGAAGTTTGGAAATTTAGAATTTATGTTGTAAAATGCCACTTTTTCTTGACGTGCATGAGAAAAAGTAGTTCATCATGCTTCAGCTGTTATATATACTGATTGGTTATTGTGCATTAATAACACGCTTTACAAAGCTTAACTTCAATGCAGGTTCTGCAGACAAAAGGGAGAAAAGCTGAGGAATGAGTTAAAGACATGGTTTCTTAGACACATACAACAGCCGGCTGCACTGGGCAGTGGTTTGAATGGGATCACGCTGTTCTAGCAGAACCTGCTTGGTAGGCTGTCAACATGAAGGGACCATTAGTGTTTCTCAACTCTTGATCATCTCACTGTCATCAAGGGAGATTAAATGGATCAAAAAGATGTCAACCTCTATCGTAGTTTAGTTTTTAAGCTGCCAAATGGCATGAATAGTTTTTCAACATTTGAAACGGTGGTATATTTGTGAAGCAAATACAAAGAGAGCCTTTATTTTTGTAAAAACATAACCTGCAGATATTTGTTCTATCTGTTCTGCTTCTCGCAAAGGCCTTTTGTGTGGCAGATTCTGGAGAGGATTTCAGATAGAACTGTTAATTGTATTTACTGTGGGACTTTCTTAAAATCTGAATGCGACAATAAAACCTCAAACAAAATCAGCCAAAATTTTTAAAGACACCGTTTGAATTCATGTTCTTTCTCCTCGGCACAATCAATAAGTTAATATCCCCCATAAGAATAAATGAAGACAGCCATTCTCAACAGGAACCAGTCTTTAGAATGCAGACTCTGCCTGTTCTGCTTTGTAACAGGGTGTGGTCTGCCAGTGTGTCTTCAGCACACTGTCTGACAATCAGCAGCCTGCAGTATGACTTAAAGGAGCAATATACTAAAAGAATATCTCTATAATTCCTAAAGGAAGCCTTTAAAAACATACACTATGGAATGAAGTGGCAAGTAGATTGCATTGTATGTATATATATTTTTTTTTTCTTGCACAGTCACTGCCTTTGTCCACCCTCCTGGGCTCAGCCCTGCCCCTCTGCTCTATGTCGACAGCCCACTCATCACATTGAAATGGCCTAGTGGACCACACACACAACACAGACTCACACAGACACACACACAGCAGGCTGCTTCTATGGAGACTGTCTGCTACTGGACAAAAGATACTTTGTTTTTATGGGGGTAGTGTCCAAGTTTCAGATACTTCTTCAAGCATTGTGTTGGTTGTACTGACACTCCTTTTGGGGCTTTTCATTCAGATTTGAACATCAAGAAGCCAGACTTTGAAGATTTTCTCTTCCCAACTCATCCAAACCCTCTAGTGTTCTGAACTGAATTTTGTGTACACTTGCTGACTGTTACTTCCAAAAACTGAGCACTTATTTGCTAACCTATCCAATTCAGAGGGAAGAGCAATATGTCTGTTGGGTATAAACTAAACCAGACTTCGCAGATTGCCTTTTCAACGTTAAGAGAGCAGAGTGTATCATTTGAAACATGTGCATGAGCTTGCTGTCACAGGAATGCTTTCAGAGCGGGTAAAGCTTCATGGAAGTTAAAATGGTGTTGTACCATTTTGTTATTGTTATTTTTCCTTGCCATGAAGAGGGGAGAGTTTGTCAAAAGGGTTTAGCAAATATAATCATAATGCCATGTAATTATTTTAAAGTTCATGGCTAATAAGGTACATCAGATGTAAAGTTCAGTTTTACAGTTCAGTTATCAGTTTCTAATTTGATCTTTGTGATTCCAGGATAGCAACTAGTCAGAGAAGAGTCTGCGTTTTATCTGTGGTCAGAAACCTCCTTTAAGAATGATTGTTAACGTCTTTCAATTTGAGCAGGAA